GGGGCCGCGGCTCGGTGCCAGGCGATGCCCGCGTGCGAGGGCGGGGATCCGGGAAAGGGGGTTACAGGGGCGGGGAGGAACCGGGGCTGAGGGGGAGGGTCGAAGTGAACCTAGCGGGCACGGAGTTGCTGTCCCAGGACGCTGCCTCAATTTCCCCTGTGGAGGAAGTGGAGGTCCTCTGCAGATAGGCTCGGGAACTAACCGGCGAAAACCAAGATGCGCTGCGCCATCCTGGTGGTGGGAACAGTGCGTGGCCCAGGGTGGGCCTGACTCGGACTGTTTGGCTGACAAGGCGGGGCCAAGTGGGCTCCCCACGCTGGGCGCCTTGCAACACCTGGTTCTGAGGCCAGGGCCGAACTGGGCAGGAGTGAGGAGTCGAGTTAGTGGGGGTTGCTTAGTACGGGTCTGCAGGACAGCCATACGGTAAATATTTGTGAATAACTAACTCCCAATTTAAGTTCTAGATCCACCAACCTGACCGAAGAGGGGCGCTAGCACACAGTAGACCCTCGGTGACTAACGTTGGCTTCCTCTCTTAGGCTGAAAAGATTTTGCGATCTCTGTCTAATCGAGTCAGGTTAAACACACACTTTGGCGCTGGAGGGCATTAATTAGGGACCAATTTGCAATTCAAGTGTGAAGGCGAATTTTAAGCTTAAGTAAAACACGGACTTTCTAAGAATTGTCGCTTTGGTATTGAACTCTAACACACCACAAATGTGAGGAGAACTTCCCAAGCTCTAGGCATTTAGCAAGGCACTCAAGGAAGGTATTATCGTTCCCATTTTACAGAAAAGAGGACTAAGGCTCCAGAGCGTAAGTAGTTTATCCCAGGCCACACAGTTAGTTGGTGGGCAGAGCCCAGGTTCCAACTTTTTTCACTACACAATGTTACCTAATGTACAACTCGGATGGGTTTGTGAACTCAAAGCTGAGAAGCATTAAATACTATGAGGCTGCAATTTAAAGGGTTCTTACCTTTTGGTTACCAAACAGGGGAAACACAGTAACTTTAATTCTCTACTAAACCAACAAATATTTATTGGGTACTTATTATATGCTAAGCAATATGCTAGGGACTGGACAGTTAAAGATGACAAGTTGAATGGTTGGATGTAGACTTAGACCTCTGCTCTCTCCCAAAATTCCAGTGAAATGACAGTTACAGGGATTTATTTTTTATGGGGATAAAATCACTGGGACAAAGAATGGGAAAGGAGACAACAGCAACAAAATGTTGGAAGCAGAAAAGCAAATGGGCAAGTGGTAACTGACTTAGCAGATCCAAGAAAGCTAAACCCTAAGCTGACAGAGGGAAAGGCAGAAATGCAGCCTAGTAGCTAGCACAGAACAAAAACTCTGAGGGAGCAGCAAGCACATCTAGAAGTGGCTGTGGAGGCAGGAATTAAAAAAAAAAAAAAAATCAATTGAAAGTTTTTTTAAGAAGCAGTTAGTTCCCAGGATTTCCCTTTCACGTCCATCCCCAAAGATGAGATTTATTCTCTGGAGAAGGTAAAACAGAGTCTCTTAGCTAGGGATCATTAGGCACAGTTGAGGGCAGGGGTACCATACTTAAAATTATGTGTGTGTGTGTGTGTGTGTGTGTGTGTATCTAGATATTAATATAAAAGCAAAAAAATTTTCGATAGAAGAGTTAAAGAAAAAATCTCACAAGAAATAGAGCCAAAAGACAAAGAAATGGAAAATGAAAGAAAAGAAAATTAGAGAAATAGTCCAAGAGAATAATAGAATAAGACTTCCATAAAATTAAGAGAATGGAGGGAAGAAAACATAAAATAATAATTCAATAACATTTCCCAGAACCAATGGACATGAGTTTCAGATTTAAAGAACCCACCAGTACCCAGAATAGTGAGTGGACATGGACTGGCACCCAGCCACATCAGACCACTGGGGCAAAGAGATGATACTCAAGGTTCTAGGAAGAACAGAGCAAGTTTATTTGTAAAAGAACCGGAAAGGCATCAGAATTTCCATAGCAACTTTAGGAGCTACAAGGGAATGGAGCAAATCCTTCCACATTCTGAGAAAAAATGATCCCCACCTAGAAGTCTGGTTCCAGCCGGAGTGTCAATCAGGTATAAGAATTGATGAAAGACTCTTTCGGACATGCAAAGACTCCCTCTGTCTCTTTTTCAGGAGGCTGCTAGAGGAGGATACACCACAACAAGGATTTAAACCAAGGAAGCGGAGGACAGGGTTTCCAGGAAAGGGTGGATGCAACCTAGAGAGAGGTGCTAAGGACCTCTTGGGTGAAGAGGGCAGACACTGCCCTGTGTAGCAGGGCTGGGAGTCAACCAGCCCAGATTGGAACAGCCAGAAGCTTTGAGAGACTCTTCGAGATGAAATTAAGAATACATTTAGAAATAAAAATACATTTGAATATACAGAAAAGAAAAATACATAGTTTAGGGAAAGTTTCGAGATAATTCATGATAAAGGCATAGGAAACTAAGCAAATATTCATAGGTATTAACTGCAGGGAAAATAAAATGATGTATAGTAAAGGAGAACTATGGTAAATCACATAGCTCAGCTGTGAATATTTGCATAATTATAATAATGTAAACAATGAATGCTGACCTAACCAAAAGTATGTGACCATATTTGGAGGAGAGGATGGGAGGCCAGGTTGTCTTCTGTGTGATAGGGAGAAGGAGAGGGTGTACAAGAGACCTAACTACTCATCATCCATCACAGGAGATCAGCAGATGCTTAAAACTGAAAAACCAAGAGGCAGCAGTATATGTATGTTACTTAACAATATAAAGGTAAATAACAAAAATAGTTAAAAGTTTAAAAGCGTTGCCTTTAGGTGCAAGAAATGTAGTAGGGTTTTAGGCCTTGTAGAACTATTTGATTCTCTCAACTTTGTGTACATATAACTTTAATAAAAATAAAAGCCAAATTAAAAACGATTTTTTAAAAAAAGGAACTTGAGAGTCGCTGGTGAACAGGACAGATAAGAGCCCCTGCCAGCATGGATGTGAAGAGCAAGTATTGAACCCAGTAAATACAACAGCATGTGCTGAGTATTGTTCACGGTGGTATGAAAGTTCCAGCCAGGATCTGAGTCCATGAGTCAGAAGTTCAGCTGAGATTTGAAACATAAACAGCAGTTAGCTAAGCAAAGGGACGGTAAGGGTGGGTGGAACGGTGTTCTGGGCAGAGGGAACGACATGTGCAAAGACCCAGACATAAGCAAAAGCAAGGCACAAAGAAGAAACTCAAGTGCAGAATTCAAAGGGAGGAGGTCTGGAAGACAAGACCTGAACCTGGAATGTAGCTTTGGGCCAGTCCCTGCAGGGCCTCGTGGGCCATGTGAGACGGTGGACTCTGAATGAAAGTAACTAAGCAGGAGAGTAGCCTTTTTAAGCAGTGAGACCTTTTAGAATGTTCTCTCAGGCTTCAAGAGGGAGATGGATTGTGTGGAAGCAAGATTGGAGGCTCCCCTCCAGTACTTATTAACTCTTTCCTGTCCCTGGATACCAGCTTAAGTTTTAATTCCAAGGACAGACTCAAATTTTTCACTTCTGCTTTTTAATAGAAGTTCAGACCTCCAAAAAGCATTCCTGGGAATCTCACATAGTAACAGTAGATAAAACTTGGTATTATGGCGCCTTCCTCAGTGTTAAATTGCAATACACCATGAGTCTGTCGGCTATAACTGTGCCTCCAGGCGTCTATGAGTGCTGAAGTCAAAATGAGGATAATAAATGATAGAGAGGCAGGCAGCCCTTGGACAGGTTGCTGGGTTTCAGGGTCTGGTCCACATGTTGAGGGCTGATTCAAGGCAACCAGACTCAGAAGAGACTGATGAATAAAGCAGATGGTACTTTATTGCTGCCTGTGGATAGACTCTGCCAGCAACCATAATGCTGTTTATCTCAGTCCCAGAACTCATCCTGAAAGAGCTGTTCAGAGTATAGCATCCTTATAAATGGGTTATCCCCCAGGATACCATGGTTCACCTGGATCAGCCCTGGCCTCTTCCCAAGTCCCTCAGCCTCTCCTTTTAGCCCTGGGCTTGGCTCCCTCCAAGAACAACCACTTCCAAGTCTGGGGGATCCTCACTCTAGCCCCGCTCTGCAAACACACTGATTCTATGGACTCATGGAGAGTCTTAACATCAAAAGCATTGGTCTTACAAGAACCAAGGAATTTAGATTCTAAATTCCATGAAGGGCTGGGAGCAAAACACCTTCTCAAACTGTGGAACCTGCATGTTCGGCCCCTGGAGGCAGTGCCTGATAATGGTGAAGAGAGAGGAGGATCTCATCTCACTTTGCTTC